GGTTTTCTAAGCAGGAGTTGATGCCAGAATTGGTCCTTCTCTTAATGGGGTTCAGTAGCTGTGATCATCTGAAGCAATGGGCCTATGCAGCTTATCTGGGTTCCAAAAGAGCAGATCCAAAGTGGAGGATTTCTGAGGGCAGAGGACCAAGAAATGTCAGGAATGCAGCTACTGTGCTGGGACCTTTTTCAGTTCATTATGATAAGCAAACAATGCTAAAAGAGGCCCAGAAACAATAATGAGGTATCAGGGTAGGATGTTGCTGCACTTTATTTTCAGTGGATTTCTGTAGGTTTCATGGATATCTGATATAAATACCAGGAAGGGAAACTTTCCATCCATGTACTTAGGTCTGAGACATTCAGTTGCTTTAAGTCCTGCACACAGGTTATCAGGGATGAGAGCTGAAAAGCACCAGGCAGTCCAGGACTTTCTTGCATCACATCAGGCATCGGCTGACAATTCCAAACCAACATGGCTAGCCTTGCTTATGCCTTTCAGGGACAGTGGGGCTGCAGTAGGGCCTGAGGCATATATCTATCCTCAGACATTGGAGACAGACACATCGCTTATGGTCCCCAGTTTAAGGATAGCTGCTCTGATATTTGAGGGCTTCACTGGGTGCCACGCATTTCCTCTTCCTCAGGCCTCCTCTGGGACTCCACATGATCTCTCTTGGCCCTATGCCATTCATCTGTACAAATTCACTGTGTTTATGTACCTACAGGGACTACTAGGAAGGCATCATCCACACCCTTCTTCCTCACTGCACAGGAGGAGCAGCTGAACCAGGTGGATAAACTGACCCTTCAGCTACAGATGATGACCAATGAGAGGAATGAACTGCTGGAACTCCTGGCCCTTTATAACAACAATGAGTTGAACAACAGGTATTCATCATGCCCTTTTCCCTGGTTACTGTCTTGACCCTACTGTGTCCTGAGTGCATCTGAGAGGCAGAGCCGAAGCTTGTATAAGTGAGATAGGACATAGGCTGTTCTGATTCCTCCAGATGAAACCCAGAGCTTGTGGCCTGAATCACAAATCTACAGAGAGGGGCAGTAGGGTGTAAGATCACACCATGCATTTCAAGAGGCCCTGACAGGCATTGGCTTTTAGGAGATGCTCAGTGCTCTGAACTGATATTTATTTTTGCTTTTTGCTATGGGAGCAGCTTGAATGGCCTGGTGGGCCTACTCAGTCCTTCTGTGTGTGACCAGAAGGCCTGGAATTCATCTCTGCTCCTCTCAGCTTGTTCCTTATACTATGAGACAATGCCACCTACCTGCCTTTCTCTGACACCCTAACTGTGTGGGTTTATGTGTGTGGAGTGCTCTCTAAGGGGGCCAAACGTTGCAAACATGGCAGTGGCAGGTCTTCCCCTTTTCACTTCCCTCTCCCTTGATAAACCATTAGATTACATTCCTAAATTTAGTCCCCAAAGTACATTCCCTTTAGCGGACACTGACGCATTCTTGAAACTAAACACCAAAGTCCAATAATCAAAATATTTATTACTTGGCTACACTGAGATCCAATCAAATCTCAACGACTCACCCTAGCACAGATTAACCTTTTCTACCTAAAAACCCACTGCTGAAAAAAGCCTGCTGCTTGCTGTCTGCCTTTGCGTGATCTTGAGACAGGTTCCCAACACCATGGTTGCCCTGCTGGGGTAATAAATCTCCTTGTGCTGAGGATTGTGTGTCTGAGTGTGTTCCGTACTGTCTAAGAGGCTTCCTTACAGTGTGTGTGTGTGTGTGTGTGTGTGTGTGTGTGTGTGTGTGTCCATCCGTGTCCTTCCAGATCCTGTGAGTCAGAGCTTGATAGTAGGACTGAATATTCAAACATCTCAAAGATTTCAGGTGATGTAAGTGCTGAGGCTAGGGAACCCCACATTGAGCATCACTGCTCTTAGCTTTGTGCTCATCCTGGTCCCTCATTGGAATCCCCTTGGGAGTTTATAAAGCCATCTGAATGTAGTGCCTCCTCCTTGGAAATACTGATTATGAGTTCTGTTTATCCTTGTAAGTAGAAAGATACTCAAGGCAGTGGAAATGTCATTGCAGATTTCAGATAGACCTGAATCTGTGGCACAGACTCCTTAGAATTTCTTAGAGAGCTAGTGTACCCCTCCAGGCCTACTCAGGGAGCTCATGTAGTCCTATCTCCTTCCCTATTGACACCCAGCCTTTCCTGGCCATGGGACAGTAAGGCAAAGTCTAATACACATCAGGAGGTCCAGTACATAGAATTCAGGGTGTGACATCCAGTGGACTAGGGTAGTACAAAACAGAACCTTAATTCATGTGGTCCCTGAGACCTGTATTCATGGGGTTCTTTGCTCCTGGGGCCATGCCCTACCACAGGCTGAAATCTGAGCTGGAGATGCTGAAAACACAGCATAAGAAGGAGATGTCAGATATAAAGAAATTCCCCAAGGAGATTTCTGAGGCTTCGTACAAGTGCAAGGAGCTGAGTGAGCAGATCAACTCCTACTGGTGAGTGCCTAATTTAGATGGGACCCCTGAAATTGTTAAGGACTCCTTCTGGTAGTCTGAAGTTTTTCCAGTTCTGCCTGACCCAGCTGTCAGGAGGAATCTGTCCCACCTACCTCCTGAAGCCAAATGGTCCCAAAGACACACACAGAGGCTTATATTACTTACAAACTGTATGGCCAATGGCTTACGTTTCTGGCTAGCTAGCTCTATCATCTTAAATTAACCCATTTCTATTAATCTGTTTGTCACATGGCTGCTGCATGGCCAGGCTGCTGGCATGTTGCTCCTTGGGTGGCAGCTGGCATCTCCTCCACCTCTGACTTTCTTTTCTGTCTCTCCTGGATTTTTCTGCCTGGTTCCATCCTGCCTTGCCATAGGCCAAAGCAGCTTA